GGGTAAGAAGGGGTAACAAGAGGTAACAAAGGGTAACAATGGGCAACAAGGGTAACAAAGAGTGACAAGGGTAACAAAGGGTAACAAGGGTAACAAGGGTAACAAGGGGTACCAAGGGTAACAAGGGGTAACAAGGGTAGCAAGGGTAACAAAAATAACAAGGGGTAACAAGGGGTAACAAGGTTAAAAAGAGGTAACAAAGCTAACAAGGGGTAAAAAGGGCAACAAGGGTAACCAGGGGTAACAAGGGTAACAAGGGATAAAAAGGGTAACAAGGGTAACAAGGGGTAGCAAGGGTAGCAAGGGTAATAAAGGGGTAACAAGGGTAACAAAAGGTAACAAGGGGTAACAAGGGTAACAAGGGGTAACAAGGGTAAAAAGGGTAACAAAGTGTAACAAGGGGTAACAAGGGTAACAAGGGTAACAAGGGGGTAACAAGGGTAACAAAGGTAACAAGGGGTAACAAGGGTAACAAGGGGTAACAAGGGGTAACAAGGGTAACAAGGGTAACAAGGGTAACAAGGGGTAACAAGGGGTAACAAGGGGTAACAAGGGTAAACAAGGGTAACAAGGGTAACAAGGGTAACAAGGGTAACAAGGGGTAACAAGGGTAACAAGGGTAACAAGGGTAACAAGGGTAACAAGGGGTAACAAGGGTAACAAGGGGTAACAAGGGGTAACAAGGGTAACAAGGGTAACAAGGGGTAACAAGGGGTAACAAGGGTAACAAGGGGTAACAAGGGTAACAAGGGTAACAAGGGGTAACAAGGGTAACAAGGGTAACAAGGGGTAACAAGGGTAACAAGGGTAACAAGGGTAACAAGGGTAACAAGGGTAACAAGGGTAACAAGGGTAACAAGGGGTAACAAGGGTAACAAGGGTAACAAGGGGTAACAAGGGTAACAAGGGGTAACAAGGGTAACAAGGGGTAACAAGGGGTAACAAGGGTAACAAGGGTAACAAGGGTAACAAAGGGTAACAAGGGGTAACAAGGGTAACAAGGGGTAACAAGGGGTAACAAGGGTAACAAGGGGTAACAAGGGGTAACAAGGGTAACAAAACAAGGTAACAAAAGGTAACAAGGGTAACAAGGGTAACAAGGGGTAACAAACAAAGGTAACAAGGGTAACAAAAAGGCAACAAGGGGTAACAAGGGTAACAAGGGTAACAAGGGTAACAAAAAGGGTAACAAGGGTAACAAGGGTAACAAGGGTAACAAGGGGTAACAAGGGTAACAAGGGTAACAAGGGTAACAAGGGGTAACAAGGGTAACAAGGGTAACAAGGGTAACAAGGGTAACAAAAGGGTAACAAGGGGTAACAAAGGGTAACAAGGGTAACAAGGGGTAACAAGGGGTAACAAGGGTAACAAGGGTAACAAGGGTAACAAGGGTAACAAGGGTAACAAGGGTAACAAGGGTAACAAGGGTAACAAAGGGTAACAAGGGTAACAAGGGGTAACAAGGGTAACAAGGGTAACAAGGGTAACAAGGGTAACAAGGGTAACAAGGGGTAACAAGGGGTAACAAAGGGTAACAAGGGGTAACAAGGGGTAACAAGGGTAACAAGGGTAACAAGGGTAACAAAAGGTAACAAGGGTAACAAGGGGTAACAAGGGTAACAAGGGTAACAAGGGGTAACAAGGGTAACAAAGGGTAACAAGGGTAACAAGGGGTAACAAGGGGTAACAAGGGTAACAAGGGGTAACAAGGGTAACAAGGGTAACAAGGGTAACAAGGGTAACAAGGGTAACAAGGGTAACAAGGGGTAACAAGGGTAACAAGGGTAACAAGGGGTAACAAGGGGTAACAAGGGGTAACAAAAAAAAAAGGGTAACAAGGGTAACAAAGGGTAACAAAAGGGTAACAAAAGGTAACAAAAGGGTAACAAGGGTAACAAGGGTAACAAAAACAAGGGTAACAAGGGTAACAAGGGTAACAAGGGTAACAAGGTAACAAGGGTAACAAGGGTAACAAGGGTAACAAAGGGTAACAAGGGTAACAAGGGGGTAACAAAGGGTAACAAACAAGGGTAACAAAGGGTAACAAGGGTAACAAGGGGTAACAAGGGTAACAAGGGGGTAACAAGGGTAACAAGGGGTAACAAAAGGGGTAACAAGGGTAACAAGGGTAACAAAAGGGTAACAAGGGTAACAAGGGTAACAAGGGGTAACAAACAAGGGTAACAAGGGGTAACAAAGGGTAACAAGGGTAACAAGGGTAACAAGGGTAACAAGGGTAACAAGGGTAACAAAGGGTAACAAGGGTAACAAGGGTAACAAGGGTAACAAGGGGTAACAAGGGGTAACAAAGGGTAACAAGGGTAACAAGGGTAACAAAGGGTAACAAGGGTAACAAAGGGTAACAAGGGGTAACAAGGGGTAACAAGGGTAACAAGGGTAACAAGGGGTAACAAGGGTAACAAGGGGTAACAAGGGGTAACAAGGGGTAACAAGGGTAACTGAGGGTAAAAAGGGGTAACAAGGGTAACAAAGGGTAACA